TACAACTTAAAGTGACAGTAGATGATTTAATTAATTATCTTTCCTTATTTGTATTTCACTGCTATGCTTGTTTGCTAAATAGTTTTCAGACAGCCTTGTGCAGTAGCCTACATGGTTTTACAACTCACAGTTTGAGTCTTGTACAGTCTGCCTATCATAACAAGGAGTCAATGAGTTGATTTGATAATAACTGTCCAGATAAGGTCAGCTTCAAGCTACAGTATTTGTTATCTATTTAGCATGTTTGTATTCCTGCTTAACACAGGGGATATATAACGTTTTTATATATCATCATTTATTTTAAATGTTTTGTCAGAATAATGTTTTGGGCTCTGATTGATAGAACAGCTTTTGTGATAAAGGGGGAGAGAGGTGGCGACATGCAATAAGTTGATCCACCGATTTGGTCTTGAGTGAGAAATCTGAACAAATATTAGATTTCAATGGAACTAGATAACTAACTTTTGATAGTAGCCTATAGATGCCCTAGACTTTTTCTTATCTGTTTCATGTTTGGGTTAAATCCTCAATTTGTCGAAAAGTTCTTTAAGAGCATATACGTACCTGCAAAAAAAAAAGAAGTTACCCTCGACTTCAGTTGTATTTTGGGCCAAAATGAACAAAACGTGTAAACCATCCACCTGTTGTTGTTGTCACTGTGAGCATGTTAGCATGCTGGTGTTGGAGCAACACAGTGGCTGTATTCTTTCTGTGACCTGTGTCCTGCTTTATAGACTTACCAAAGAGGTGAGAGCTCTCTGAGATGGAGAATTCATCGCTGGGTGGGATTTGCAGCGGTCCCACCACATTAAAGTCGGGGCCCACCCACTCATTCATTCAAGATGGTCGTTGGGCACCAGCAGAGTTTGGACTTTGCGGAACAGAGCCTCTGGTTTATTCTGTAACAAGCATACAAATAGTGTGATTTGTGATCCATGGTGACGATTTTCTTGACACTCTTATGGGTCTGCAGGATCAGCCTGGAAGTCTCTACATCACCACAGCTGACAAGTATTGTCTCCCACACAGGGATGAGATGTTCAGTAGCCTACATGGGGTTGGGGGATGAAAGTCAACCCATAATAAGGACGCCCTGAGAGCCAGTCAGTCTTTTCTTTCTGCATCCTGTCAGTGCAGTCATTTTATTTCACATTCAAGTACACATTTGCCAGGGGCTCGTTTGACATGATGTAGGCTATAACTAGATCTGTGTTATTTTATCTTTCTAAAATAAATTACTAAAATATTACAGCCAAGCCTTCAGTTTTGAGATAGAGGCTCATTTAACCAAAGGGTAAAAGCTGATTTGTAACTTGAATGTATCTTTTGAATAACAGACATGTTTTTAAACGTACAGTATCCGTGGCCTTTCTGGTGTCAAGACCGCTACATGTGAAACATTACTTTCATGGACTTCATCTGCCACTGATTTTTTTAATTAACTCAGTGTAATTTCCCCTGAGACCCAAGGCCAACCCACAGTGATTCAGAAACCCCCGGACCTCTTAACAACCCCACAAAACAGCCAAACCTCACACATAATGGCACGTCGCGGACTCATAAAGAATCACCTGCTCACCAGTGAACTTGAAATATGTTCAGATTCCATTTCACATTTCTTACCTTGCGCTGGTCCTTGGATGTTGATTTGCTGCCTGCTAATGTTCCTCTTTTTCAGCTTTGTTTCTGATTTCCACGCCGAGAGCTACAGCTCAATCAATGTTTGCTAATGAACATTACGCTGCTTGTGTCTGGACTCCAGTGAGAGCATGTGTGACCAGTTGAGGTCAGGGAGAAATGCATGGTGGTTATTAATTAAACTGTCCATTCCTGTCCATGTCACCCCCCAGCCCCCTCCCACAAACACAAACTCTCCCCCCCCCAAAAAAAACCTGTTTATTTCACTAACACAAGAGGCTGTGTGTGTGTGTGTGTGTGTGTGTGTGTGTGTGTGTGTGTGTGTGTGTGTGTGTGTGTGTGTGTGTGTGTGTGTGCGTGGTGCGTGCGTGCGTGCGTGCACACACACACACACACACACACACACACACACACACACACACACTCTCCCACACACATACACACACACACACACACACACACACACACACACACACACGGAACATACATCCAGTCATTAGCAAACAACTGGTGTTAGTGCGAGCAGAAGCTGAGCAGAAGCGCTGCTATCAGTCCAAATACTTTTTTGAAAAATAAACATAGCATCACGGTGTCTCTTCTTTTCACTGAAACAGTAACACTTCACTGAAAGTTTTATATTATTATTTAGAAGCACAGGAATGAATTATATAAATCATTGCTGACTGTCCTTGACCTAATCAAAGTTATTTTATCATGTCACTGCTAGTTGCAATACCAGTCTGCACAACAATTGTCATATAATGGCACTGTCATATGGGCCCTTTGTCTTTGTGTAGTCTTAAGATTTACCCAAGCTCACAGGAAATCTAAATCTTCTTTTATATACAATCCTTAATTTGTCCAAAATGCAATAGTTTAATCATTGATGGGTTGTTGCTCCATCCAAAGAGGCCCTTCTGAGTCAACAGACAGTCTTTCAGAAATAAACAGAACCTTTGCTATTGGCTGCCGGCTGTTTGTGGACTATCTGGTCTGTGTTTGAGAGCATGTGGGGAGTGAGCTGGCAGCGATAACTTCGGGGAAAGGACCCACTCAACTTAACTGAGCATGTGTAAAAGTTATATATTGTCCAATAAACCTGCAGCTGGGTCTTCAGGTTCTTCTCCAATGTGTTGTAGTTTTAAAAAAAAAAAATCATATAACACAATGATTTAGATTTCAATGTAATAATAGGTTGACTGTTCCATGGAATAGCAAACTGTATTCACCTTAAAGTGCTTATATACACTATACCTCCTGCTTTGTAACTTATTCATATCTACATTTCTCTAACCCTTACTTGTCATTTCTGTTAATTTGATATTATAAGTGATGACTTTTTCTCAGTGGATATTATTGTGGCTTTAACAACCTGCTCCTCCATTCCTGCCTGCTGGCGTCATAGGCTATCCCTTTGTATCAGACATCATTATATCTGGATATTCCTTCAATCATTATCTTTTAGTTGATACCACACCAATCCTTTTTTTTTTTAACACTGGTATCTTGTCTTATTACGTGTGCTTCTTAATATTATCCCTAAAACAGGAGAATATGTCCAACTTTAAATGCCTCGGATCATATGATGTATGTAAGCACATATTGGGTGTTGCTTTTCACCTTGGTTTTTATTAGTCATTACAAACAGACCCTTTTGGGAGTTTTGATAGATACAAAAACAGAAACACACCCTTTAAAGTGACATTTGCGGCCACATCTTCTGTGAAGAAAGCCAGCAACAAAGTGTGTAATCTTGAAGCGTCTCATCAACATGTTCAGTCAATATATTTTTTATTGATCAAAAAGTCCACGTTAATACATTTTTATAAATGTATATTTCGTTATACTGTCTCCCTCTAACTGTCATCTTTTAGTTTTGTCAAAGCAAGACTTAAAACGGGTGACGAATATCCTGTCCAGTAATTGTTTTTTTGGTGGTCAAAATGAAACAGGCAAGAGAGATAAGACAGAGGATGTTTACCACAGCGCGATGGGAAACAGAGCAGTCTTTGGAATATTTAAAAATGTCTAATATGAGTGCACTAACATAAACAGGCACTATTAAGGACAGGACAGCCAAATGTATCAAGTAGCAACAGAAGATAACGAGAAGCTGTATCGTATAAAGGACACATTGTGTATGGATAAAGCTTTTTGAAAATAATGTACAATGTATAGAAAATTGTAGAAAATGTAGGAAATTAATATATATGGTTACTTAGAAAGTGCAGACCTCTGCCAAAGACAATCTGTTTTATAATTGTGTGTGTGATAGAGATTATGCAACGTGTTTAGTGTTTGTTGATAGTTATGCACCTGCCTGGACTACAGATAGAAAGGAGCAATAAGCTCAAATCTGGCAAAAAAATCTTCTCTTCTCTTTTCTAAAATGAATGTATTTTAAGGCATGGTCCTTGTTCAAATAAATACATACATTTAATTAAATTAAAGCCAAATTCCCTATCTTGGTTTTTTAACGGAAGATGTATCTATTAGCCTCATGATTCAGAACCTCTCTGAAATGTAATGGGTTCTTCCTCAGCCCCTGCTAGACCCTTCAACCAAGGTTAATGAAAGCAGGGCCCATATGTTTTCCATAATTCTGCTGACAAACAGAAAACCAATAGTAACATTACCCCCTTGGCTGAGATAAAAATGAGCTTGAGAGATGGAAACACATCTTAAAAAGCTGAATAATAGAGGGAGAACGCACTTCTTGCCCTCAGCTTTTAAATGGCTTCTTTCTTTCTTCTATTCTTTTAAACAAGAATGTCTAGATCAGTCCAACAAATGAACCAGACCCAAATATCTCAAGATATTAGATGGATTGCGATGACATTCACGGTCCCCAGAGGGTGGAGCTTTCTGACTTTTGTGATCCTCTGGCTTTGCCTCTGATTTTGTGATCTCTAATTTGTCATCTTGCAGCGCCATCACTTTAAAGTTCTTTCCCAGTCTCCTAAGATGTGTCTGTTTATTGCTGATTATTGTTAGCATGCTAACATGTTCATCTAAGATGGTGAACCTGGCAAACATAATACTTGCTAAACATCAACACGTAAGAAGTGTCATTGTGATCATATTGCCATGCTAGCGTTAGCATTTAACCCGCAATAAATACAAACCCTGGAGCTGCAGCCGTAGATTATCAATGTTGATTTTGATTACCCACAGTTTGCAATTTGATGATTAATTTCTTTGAAAACACAACGTAATGTAAATGTTCAATAACCACATAAAAGGTACTGTGAATAACCTTCATAAGATTGCATGTCTCTAAACAATCTTAATACAGAATAAAAATGTAGTTTATTACATCTCCAGGAAGTTCAAGTAAAGTGCAAATCAAATCAATGCTCTTTCAAACAATAAGATAATAATTTACTGTACAAAAACAATTTTCTTTTCTATAACAGTAAAGACAAATAGTAAGAGTAACTTCCCCATACTCTAATGGGTTAAACATGACACTACATTCTTTTTTAGAAACAAACTGGGTCGTCATGTATCAAATATTGAGAAATTGCAATAAAGACAACCACCAGGAGAATAAATAGTTACACTAAATGCGTCATGGAGTAGCGTCAGCACTTAACTTGCGCTCCTTTATGTCCTATTCTGAGCTCATAGCACTTTAAATCATGAAGCTGACATTATGCTGGAAGAAGTGTAATACAAACAGATGTCGAACTAGGACCTGCGCAGACTAGGAGAGCGAACTAAGCAATGACAAAGTGCAATCATTCAGCAACAGCAAATACTTACAAGCAAAAAAACATTACATTCAAGAAGCACAGCTCTTTTTTTTACGGTGCATAGCTGACACAAAACATTTCAAAAACCGTCAGGTAGCTCAAAGTAAGTCACATAAAGTTTAGTCTAGTTTGCATTCACCGATGGAGTACAATCAACGCAGGCTGCAGGGATGTCAGGTTTCAAGGTTGATATGCAAGTCAGATGTTCTTTTATAACAGCACTAGTTAGTCTGAGGTTACTTTCTATTGTACTGAGCACACTAGTCTACAGTATATGCCGGTGGAGATTACTAGTATTGTTCCATTTTTTTTATCTTGTCCCAATTTTATCTATTTAAAAATGATGCTTGATTTTAGATTTTTTCCTTTTTTATGTTGTGTTTTTATATGATTTCTAACAATACAGTACATCACAGTTAAACTGTAGAATATTGACCAAAAGAAAAATCATCTTGCGGTACAAATGGAGCTGCTGCTGTCACTCCGCCGATGTTTCTGACATTTCCACGGGTGTGAAATGAAACTTTCAGCCTTGACCAGACTCAAGTGTTTAGCCCCCCCCCCACAGGGCATCTCACTGATACCGATCCTGATAGTCGCCATTCCCACAATGTTCCTCCTCCTCTTGCATGGCCACACCTCTCGTCTTTTTCAAGCCCTGTTTTCCACCAGATGAATTGTCTGTGGTCCCATAACTCTTTTTTGGAGCAATTGCGTCCTCCATGTTGAGCTCGGATTCTTCAGCTAGCTCGTCCTCATCAATAATGCCACGTTTATCCTCACTGATGTTCTCAGGGTTGGCCCATTCCTGCAGCTCTCCCGAAGCAAAGATAGCGTAGAAAATGACCCCTGTGTAATGCACCATGGACGCAATAATAAAGATGTGCTGCCACTCCAGACGAGTCTGTGGGGGGGGTGAATAGAATCAATAACTTTCCTCTCTGAGACAGATCTTTTGATTATGTACCACAGAGGAAACACTGTTAATGCACTGCCCTACTTACGGTATGGCATTGGAAAAACTACAACTCCAATGTGTGTAGTACATTATAGAGGGCTATAAATTATTAACAACAAACGCTGATAGATGCAAGAATAAAACATTGGGTTTGTGTTTGATGAAAAAGCAAAGCTGATATTATTTTATACATCAGGGGAAAAATTCAGTGAAGGACTCTGTTTCTGAGTTTTCTACTCTCATTAAAAATTAAATAGATTTCAACATAATATGAGATGAAAGGATAAAGTATTAACCTTAATTTACAGTCAAGATAAGAGCAAAATATGTTAGATGAATTGCAACTAATTGATGTACTTCTGTTAACATATTTGCAAAACAGTTACTGTTACAAATCAACTTGTACCTTGTTTTTAGTCAGTGCTCCAACGATAATAGGACACACCATGCCAGATAGTGTTCCCACCCCGTTAGAAATGCCCATCAGGATGCTGGCGTAGCGAGGAGCAATATCCAAGTGATTGACATTAAAACCTGAAAACAGCAAACACAAGAACATTTGATTAAGAAAAGAGTGAGCAAATGTCATCATAAATTCTCCAAAAGTCAATGTGGTTTGTAGATCCACATGCACATTTGATGTAGATTTTTTGGTTGCCTTGACAACAATCTATAAAATATTCAGGGGAAGTGCCTGCGTTAAGGCTAGGCAGGCTGTATGACACCCAAAGGCACTTCAAGTTTCTCGTAATCCGAAAGACAGAGAACGAAGTGGAAAAAGCAACAACATCAAAAATAGGCAACATCATGTTTATTTGAGGGTTTTAAACTGACCAAAAATGCAAAGGAAAGCCCTTATGTTTTCCCCTTAATATATAGCAAAACTAAAAGTATGTCACTTGAGGTTGAAGACAAATGTTTCTTTGGTGCAGACGTGGTAGTACCTGAGATGGCGAATCCACTGAACCCTACAGCAAGAACTAGGAAGGAGATGGCGACTCCGCGTGTGTGAGAACACCCCACTACCAACAGAAGAGTAGCCTCCATACCAAATCCTGATACAGGACCAGAGAAATGTGTGTCATTAGATCATTTATATATATATATATATAAAAAAGCATAAACACGTTTATATGGACTCCTTCAATCTGAGAGAGATTTTTCAAATAATTGTCCTGCACAATACCTTAATCATTCTAACAGGACTCCTTAACAATGTACAGAAAACGCTCAGCAAAAGACAAAACTAACACAAAAAGGCTTAATCTTCTAAAATCTGTATTGATAAAAACAGAAGCAGATTGCATTTACTTAGGATAAAAAAACATCTGCCTTGTTTTCTGAATTAACATGTTTTCAAGAAAAAAAAGACACATACACACTCTTCAGTAGCCTCAAACCCATAGGTTGGATATTACTTAACAGTCATATTACTATGCTTCTATGCAATCGAGCTCTCAAGTAAATACAATAAAAAATCTTGGGATTTTGAGGTACCTTTGTTAATACAGAAACCGTTAAGCTAATTACTTAAAGCAAATGCATTGTACACTTCCATAGATATTTTTCACATAAGGATAAAAAATGACAAATCTTATTCCTTTTAGTTTGCCAAGACGTACCTCCGCAGTTCATGATTTTCCTCACATTTGTGGTAGACATGATATTGTTAGTGCGTAAATAGTCAGCCAGCTGTCCTCCGATAGGAACTACAATAGTCATCACCATGTGGGGCACAGCAGACAGGATCCCAACCTGTAGGGAGATCATACACCACAGTAAGCTAATGTCTAAGTCATTCCCATGATTATTGACCTTTGTGTATGATCTTTGTCATTGTAAACTGAACAGCTATAGTGTAACTGCAACGCCAACCTTGCTGATGGGGAAGCCAAAGACTTCCTCAAAATACGCCGGCTGGCTGATGAGGAGCAGGTAGAAGGTCCAGCTGCGGCAGAAGTTGGCCACGATGATGGCATAGACAGGCATGGAGGTAAAGAAACGACGCCACGGTGTCTTGAATTTCTGCGTTTAGGAGACAGAAGTCAGTGTTTGCCACAGAGGTTGGATAAAGTCATCGCTTTGCATGCCACATGTACAGCTCGCCTTAAATATTTCAGGTCTCGAGTCACCAAATCCTAAACAATACGTTTTAAGTCCTAATAAGTCCTTTCTATGGAACCGTGTTTTCCAACTGCAACGTTAGTTCTTCATGGTTATTTCCTGCAACTTGATTGGTTGCTGTTAGATTGGTTCAAACAAAGAGGATCTTGGGACATGTCGAGTTAGTGTTTGTGAATTTAATAAACAAGGGCAAATCATTTGGTTTGTGGCACATGTTTTGGGTAACGTATGGTGTAATTTTTGGGCTTGGAAGGCTTGGAAATATCTTTTAGTTTAGTCAAGAGTCATTGTTGTTAAAGTCAAGAAGATAATTAAAACATTTTTGGAAAAAGTAAAAAAAATTCCAATTTGTGACCAGAGACTGACTTGAGTCCAAGTCATGTTACTTGAGTCTACAAGTCTTTTATGTATACTGTGTGTGTTTGTGTTTGTGACCCCCTGAAACTGGCAGCATGTTACCCATACACACCTCAGTCTTACTCAGTTGGCGCATTGTTTCACCGATGGTGGTCTCGATGTACGTCCTCTCCTCATCTGTGATGGTTGGATGTTCAGCAGGACTTCCATATGCCAGAAGCAGCCACATGATATACCATATCATCCCAAAAACACCTTGAATAAGAACATTATTACAAACATTTTGTATGCATACCTTGTACATATATAATTAGAGTTGTTATATTCTTAGTGAAGTCTTTGTAATGGGCCGGAGAGCATAATTAAAACAAGCCCAGCCCTTCTCTGGACCACAAGAATTTTCATTATTTAAATTAAAGGTATGAGTCACAGAGCCCTGACAGGAAAATGCTAATTTACATCAATAAATCACGAGATGATATCACAGCAGAACCAGAGTAGGTTTTTATTAAAACACATTTGGCAAAGTACGCCAGTGTTAATCCTTTTAATCAAACTCTAAAGTGATTCAGATAACGCTTAGTGCAAAGCATACAAAGTACATCTGACACAGCAGCGTGGCAATATGAAGACCAATTTGTAAAGTCACCAAACAGACACCTAGTGTATATAATGACTCAACACCAGACTATATCATTTGTGTTTGTGTGTGTAATCTATTTCTAAAGATAAAATCAAGCAAAAGTGTTTTTAACCTCAGTTCTAAAATATCTGCAAAACAAAAAGTGACTCTTGTACAGCTTTAAGAAAAAGGTTTCACGGAAATACTGTTTAATATTAGATTTCTTGCTAAAGGTTAATTAAGAAGACCAACTGATATGTATTGAAGCAACTGCAAGCGTCCAGTTAGCTTAGCTTCATTTAGCACAGCGACTGTAACTAGAGAATGCAATTCCTGAAGAAATTGCTAGTGGGAATGCTCTATGCTGAAAAGCTGACGCTGAATTGCTATGCTGAAATGTAATGTGTAAGAAGAAAGTGAATACATGAACACTGGGGGCTTGAATGTGTGATAAGAGAAGAAAAGAAAGTAAAAAGGCTTGAAAAAGCAGCAGAATATTTGAACTGCAAACTTTTGAACTAACTTGATGGCGAATGATCTGTCGCCATGCCAACGGCATTTGATGACACCCCATAATACGCTTAGATGGCTGCATCGTTACCAAACCTGTGAAGTTTTGGGCCGTTTGGAGCATTTTCATTGAAGTTATGAGAAAACCGTGTTTCATGGCAAGCATTGTGTTGCCATGACAACGGTATTCGAAGAAATCTCAAAACTGTCCCGTAGATGTCTTCACGGCTGGACTGTTAGCACACATGTGAAGTTTTAGCACTTTTTGACAATTTTCATAGGAGTTATAGCGACATCGTCTTTTATGGTGAGGGATGCGTTTCCATGGAAATGACATATGATGACACCCCATGATTTACGTAGAGCTGTTGAGGGCTGGACCATTAACCATTGTCTGAAGTCTGGTGCTGTTTTGACCCTTTTCATAGGCGTTACGACAACATCATGTTTTTTGGCGAGGGATACGTTTCCATGGAAACAGCCTATGGTGAGATCTCAGATTTGGCGTAGAGCTGTTGNCACATTACGTAATATCAGATTTGATGTAGAGCTGTGTTAACCATTATCTGAAGTCTGCTGCTCTGAGCATGTCAGTTGGAGTTATGACATCATCGTGTTCCATGACACAGTTGTTCATATTTGAGCTAACAACGTTATCATAACACCTGTGCTTGAGCCCAGAGATCAAAGGTTTCCATGGTGATATGCAGTAATCAGTGAGAGGAGAGCATTTGCATTGTTCTGAATGAGAGATAAACCTCTTACATGTGAACGTTTTGTTGAAGAACCGTAACAGATATCGGTGAAATTTCAACGCATGAACGCACGCAACGTGTGAAGCATCTCAAGAACTCTGAGCATCTGAAGTGTGCTTTTTGTGTACTTTGGGGTTAATAATGTGGCCTTTTTGGCAGATTAACTAAAGGTGTGCGGCTGCTGCTGTGAGGAAAGATGAGCATGAATGTACAATGGGCTTTAATGGAGAATTGTTGAAAGTTTTTGTCATTTCATGCCCTCAAGAGACATTTAGTTTGATTTTTTTGCTTAATTTTTGATTTTTTCAAGCTACGAGATGTTTTCCTACGTTTCTCATGAAGAATTATGTCTCAGCAATGTAGGGTTTGGGAATTACGGCAGGTTTTAAAAAATATATATGAAGGCAAATTTCAAGCTGTCCTCCACTCTAGTTGTGACATCATGCACTCTAAATCTAAAGGAGGCCTCTTTACCAAGGTCTGAACAATGTTTAATATCTCTAAAANTGGTGAGATCTCAGATTTGGCGTAGAGCTGTTGCGGTGATATACAAGCAAAGTTTGGGGGCGATCAGACCGTGTCCATTGGAGTTACAGCGACATCGTGTTTCATGGCGAGGGATGCGTTTCCATGGAAACGGCATTTGATGACACCGCATAATTGACGTAGAGCTGTTGAGGGCAGGACCATTAACCATTATCGGAAGTCTGCTGCTGTTTTATGGCGAGGGATGCGTTGCCATAGTAACACCACATTACGTAACATCAGATTTGATGTAGAGCTGTGTTAACCATTATCTGAAGTCGGCTGCCCTGAGCATGTCAGTTGGAGTTATGACATCATCGTGTTCCATGACACAGGTGTTTATATTTTGAGCTAACGACGTGTCCAGAGATCAAAGGTTTCCATGGTGATTAATCAGTGAGAGGAGAGTGTTTGCATTGTTCTGAATGAGAGATAAACCTCTTACATGTGAACGTTTTGTTGAAGAACCGTAACAGATATCAGTGAAATGTCAACCCGTGAAGCATCTCAAGAACTCTGAGCATCTGAAGTGTGCTTTTTGTGTACTTTCGGGTTCATAATGTGGACTTTTTTGCAGATTAACTAAAGGTGCGGCTGCTGCCGTGAGGAAAGAGCAGCCTGAATTTACAATGGGCTTTAATGGAGAAATGTTGAAAGTTTTTGTCACTTCATGACCCCAATTATTTTTGCTTAATTCTCTTTTATTTTTCAATGCAAATTTCAAGCTGTCCTCCACTCTAGCGGTGACATCACGCACTCTAAAATCTTATGAAGGCCTCTTTACCAAGGTCTGAACAATGTTTAATATCTCTAAAAGTATGAATCAGATTTAAAAGTTGTGTAACATGAATAATGTCAGAAAGATGCGTAGCATTTTAAAGTTGGAATGAGGTTTCTGAGTGAAAGTATGAAGAAACAGTTAGCAGTTGAAGTCGCATGAAGATTTTTCAAGTCTGAAGAGTTTCTCCATTGACTTCCATGTTAAACATTTGATGAATTATGGGATGTATCTCTGGAATAATGAAAGTTATGAATGAGAAAAGTAATAGCAATTGATTCCAGACCGACCTGAATGTTTTGATGTTTGAACGGAGTTTCTGCGATGTGGAATGTGGGAGAAGAAGAGGCGCAAAATAACCCGGCGGAATAATAAAGAATTTTTTGAGTAGCATAACGAGTAGTTGGAATGCTGTATCAGCATTCCCACAAAATTAGGAGAAAATAGCTAGACAGGTTCTTTCCAAGGGTAAATACATTCTCTTACAAATAGGTTGACTAAATGCATTTTTATATCTAAAATATATACAAAAGTGTAAAAGCGTTAATTTACATTAGGTTATGGGATTTTGTTATGGCCGGGTACAGTCACTTCCTGGAGTCTCTGCTGGTCGCCTGGCATATTATCCTGGCTAACTGTTTCCCCCTGTTTCCAGTCTTTATGCTAAGCTAAGCTAACTGGCGCTGGCTGCAGCTACATTTAGCGTACAGGCGCGAAAAAGCTATTTACCTTCCCATCAAACACATGTTGTACTTTTGCAATATTTTTACGAGAGTTACTTAATGAAAGGTTTGGTGTGATTTAATTTTTGTTGTGATTTTTATTCAAACACAAGTCTTACCATAGACATAGAAGACTGAAGGCCAGCCGACGTACTGAACAAGCACTCCTGCTAAAGGCATGGCTATCACTGCTCCTGCGTAGGATCCTGTGGAAAAAACAGTGTCAGATGTATGATTATTCCAGCAGTAACATTGGATCTCAGTGCGGATGACAAATAACTAAAAGTAATAAGTAAATATATATCTTTGAAAAATTGTTTTCTTAGTTCATATTTCCATTTTAAAGTGTTGTATAATATGACTTAATTTAATGTAACAGTGCAACCGACTTCAATATCACAGAAAACAATACTGTATAGTGGAAATTTGTCTGAATAAAAACAAAGTCATCAAAGAAACACATTAGTTTCATTGAATAAATGGTGAGTCGTTGGCACAGAGAGGCTGATTTGAATGGAGCATGAGAGTGCTTTTGGACAGTAAGCAATGTGATGCTTGCTTTAGGTGAATAAAGGGAGACGCTCTCTCTGAGCACGCAGGTGAGCCGTGTTCATTTACAGACAATGTCAAGAGGGTTTTGATGCGTGGGTTGTCATGGTACCAGTTTATTTGAATTCAGGAGATAAAGCCTTGGATTAAATCTGCAAAACAAAATGACCTCTCTCATATCCATTTACTGACTAGCCACACTGTGACTTAGGAGGTTGTGTAAACTGGTTTGCAGCTCTATGCTGTGATCAGTTTTGTAGTCTGCACTGAGTAATATGACCAGAGAAAACTGCAGGCATCGCTCACCACAGAATGAAGTTGTGGCCAGTCGACTGCGTTCAAGAGGTGGCGCCCATTTGGACCACATCCCATGGCATGCTGGGTAGGTGACACCCTAGCAGGGACATGGTATAGAAGATGTCAAAGGACAAAGACTTGGGAGTAAATTGATCTTACAACGTGGAAATACTTAAATAATGCTTCCACATTTTGGGAAACAGACGTATTTGCCTGAGATTGATGGATGAGCGCTTTGACATGAGAGTGATATTGATCTATCATCTAACTCCAAACAAGAAGTCAAATAAGTGTATTTTCCCACAATATGGAAGTATTGCTTAAAATGCATCCTTCTCACTTTTTTACATCCAATGTGTTTTTTCTTACCTCCACTAAGCCTTGCAGGATGCGAACAAACATGACACAACCGTAGTGCACCCTCGCTGCTGACGGGATGAACATGTTGAGAATGGACGTCAGGAAAATGGCAGCCCCAAACACCCTGTAGAAATACTGGAGTGTCATCATAGTGTGTGTGTGTGTGTGTGTGTGTGTGTGTGTGTGTGTGTGTGTGTGTGTGTGTGTGTGTGTGTGTGTGTGTGTGTGTGTGTGTGTGTGTTGGCATTGCAACATCAATGTGAACCTTAAGCCCTTAGATTACATCCTTATTATTTAGTCCTTCTCTTGGAAGAAAAAGGTAAATTATTATTATTATGATTACACTTTAAATGAATTCCAATTAATTTCCAATGTAATCGACGTCTTTTTGTCAGTTGAACTAATTCCCTATTTTTCCCTCTAAGAATCAAACATCTTGCATGAATGTCCTAAAAAACTATCAGGGAATTATAACCTTGACTTATATTGTGATTCTTCTGATCTGTCTACATCATGTTTACACACAACAAACAAACACCTGCTGCCCAGTGTCTGGAAGCTACTGTAGACGTCTAATATTGGCTGGCAGCATATCTCCAAACATCTGACGGTAGAAGCATCTCAGTCAGCCTTATAATGAGACAGATCTCACGCCTCTCCCTTTCATGCACCGAGATAAAGACATCCCATTCAACCTGCAAGTTTCTGCTTCATCACCACAGTGCCGCTTAGCTCCCATCTCTTCTCTCCTTCACCTCATCCCCCCTTCCTTCTCTTTTTCCAAAACAGTGTGTAAGTGACACTTGTAATATTCCAGTGGCTGGTGTTTCAGAAAGAAATCAGAGGCAGGATCTTTCATTATTAACTCTGTCAGTGGCGTGTCCTCTTTTCCTGTGAAGCTTTTATTACAGGACTGCTATCTGCTCCATCAGCACCGCTCACTGCACCGTACAGCTTTAACCCTTTACCCACACAGGCTGAGGAGGCGCTCTGTCCTAAAACATTGATCTTTTCAGTCTTTCTTGGAGCATTTCTTAACATAATGTGCTCAGGGCTGCTGCAAACATGGCCTTACTCTCAACTCCTGGAAATAAATCAACAAAATACATGACACATTTTTATTATAACCTTTTTATTCTTAATTTGTATGAAAAAGTCTGCTTGTGGATTTAAGATCTGCTGGGAGTATTCAAATTTCAAACTTTGAGGAAAAATATTTTATAGACATTTTCAGTTTATTTCATTCAATAGTTTTTAAATTATAAAGTTTTATTGTATTTTATTCTTATTTAATAAATCACTTATTTGGCTGTGTTTATGTTGTATAAATGTTTTGAATCTATTGTTATTCTAATAATGTAGTTTTTATATTACTCATATTACATACTCTTACATATACATTTTGATCATTTAATTGTCTGTTATGCATTGGTTTCAAATTGTCAAACTGTTAAATTACTGGGTTGTTTTTGTTTCTTCTGTTGTTATCACTGTCAGAACTTTGAACCCTACTTATCAGTATGAAAGGTGCTTTAATATTAAAGCTTCAGGTAATGATTAATAATAAATTCATCCTTTGGTTAATGAAATATGAGAATGGTAAAAAGTGTCTCAAAAACATCATCAAATTACTTTTCCCATCAACAGTCTTAAATGTAATGTATAATGACATCAAACGAGGTTTAAGTGTTTTAGTGGAATCATTGATAGTCACCGGTTGGCAAACAGCTTGTTGGAGATGAAACCACCGGGGATCTGAGTGACGATGTAGCCCCAGAAGAAGGAGCCATGGATCAGCCCCACTGTCTCTGGGTCCCAGTTGAACTGAGCTTTCTGGAGAGGAAGAAAGAAAACTGATAGAACAGCAAAAATATGGAAATACCCTCCATTGAACATTCAATTACTTTGGTATAATCTACGTGGTTGCATCTCAGTTGTGTGTGGAAGCTTATTTTAATTTTTTTAACTTCTTGTCCCGATCCAATGCCTTTGTTTCATGGAAGAATGGTATGAGGTTTTTCCACAACGAGCATTTTATCTTAGGCATAATTATTGCCTAAAGTTTAAATTGGTATTTTATTTGTTTATATACAAAAAAAGTACTTACATGGATTATAAGAGCAATTATACATTATAATGATAGTTTATGAGTTAATTGTGGCACACATTATAATATAGTCTTTATTTATGATAACAAAATGATTCATGATTCAGGAAATCATTTGTAAAACATCTGTAAGCACACATAAATGGCTTTTCAGATATTTGTAACACTATGATTTGTACAATGTGTTAAATGGTTTAAGGTGTAAATGTTATTTAACATGTACAATGGTATTTAATAGTTAAGTCTTTGTCAATGGTTTAGATTCTGTTTTGCCTATTTAATACAATTATTTGGTCGTTTTAAAAACGTCCAGTACAACACAAGATTACTAATACTCAATTTACAATGTTTTATTGATGCTTATTATAAAGTTAGGCCACTTTCTTCAGATCAACAAGAATAAAATCCTATGGCCTCATATCTCAGGTCCTGTGTGATGTCATGCAGCTACCTGCATCACAGGAGTGCCGTTGATGTAGACGGTGTTGTTGTTCACCATCTCCACAATGGCCACACCGAGGTTGCAGCGGATGCCAAATGAGATGCAGAAGCCCAGGCCGCTGAGGATGGCGATGATGTAGCGCTTGGGCAAACCCCCACAGTAGCAGTCCAGCAGTGGGGCAGGACGCGGGGCTGAAGCCACCGGGCGCCCATCCTCTGTCAATTCAATGTGGTCCTCTTCTTCTACATTACTACCATCTATTTTCCTAAGAGGTCAAAAGTAGCAGGAAAATAAAGAGTATGTAACAGTAGGAACATGTGATCATAGTGGTCTTTCTTATCTCTTCAGCTCATAATAATAACAAGTTTAAAATGCATTATAAACATACTTATCATGTGAAATAATGTCATTGAACATTATAGTTATAAGCACAGATGAATATTCATACTGTTTTATAACAATAACATTTTAATAATCTTTTTTTAATATTTTATAAGGTCAAGTATACTTGATTATTTCATACTGTTGCTCAGGCACGTGCACGCATAGACCTCAAAGTGGGCTTGAGCCCCTGCCCCCCAAAATGTCTGTGCACGTCCCTGCTGTTGCTGGTCACTCATCACTGTATTTTTTAGAACATTTTGCTTCATACATAATCCCCCTGTTCTTTGTTCATTTACAGTGAATTGCTGAACATTTACCTTACATGTGATCAAAGCATAATATGGCTTCAACTCAAACAAACATATAGCATTTTTTGTGCAATTTTCACAATATAATATTTTAAAGTCCGATCACTTTTGTCAGTACCTTTGATCAAATGTGGCATCTCAGTAACATGAGTGTCTCGGCTCTCTTACAGAGTAAGGAGCGGGGAGGCATGACACAAGACTAAAAAGATCACGACATTGTTATCAGGTTGCCTTCAGCTGCATCACTCTCCACACCTGTTCCACTGCCCAGAGTCCATCTCTTTTTCCGTCCCCAGCTCATCTGCCTTCTGTAGTGCTATACTGCATTCCTCTAAGAGCAGGGCTCAATTTAAGCTGAAACTGCGATCACGTTTCGATATCAACCCCTCAAATCTGCACTTTTTTAACAACTGGTGCGTCATATTTTCTGTAACAATACATGGCTATTAAAAAATGTACTGTAAATGTGATTATTTGAAAGAATAGTTAATATGGTGGGTAGGTGAATGAACTGCATTAAGATGCAGAAGTCATCTTAGGGGTGTTCGATGCCCTTACACTGCAACCAGTCTCAAAAGTATAAGCAACAAACTGACATGTTAAAAAAATAACAGAGATGGGTTAAAGTCTTAATTTTCAAAACCAGATAACACCTTTTCTATTGGTGCGTTAACCAGAGTTTGGCTTTATTTGTGCACACCTGTATGGATGTCAAGTTTTTATATATTTTGTTTATGTGACTTTTATTTTAAATATTATATGTGTGTGTTTGGTGAAGCAGGATAACCTAACCCAATAAACTAAACACATTTACAAAGTATTAACTGCATCCTGACGAGATTATTGATTATTTGAAATTAATCTGTTTTTGTTGGTTTTTAAAAACTGCCATTTGGAAATGTCATCATACTGTAGCAACAAGTTCTTAATCTCGATTCTGGAAAAGTGCAGGCTTATTGATAGTGAGCTGGATCATGACAACGCTGTTTTAGTGTGAACCCCATACCAAATCTCTTCTTTGGATACATATAGCTGAATATTGTTTAAATAATATTTTTTAAATCTGAAATAATAAATACACATGACTAAAAATATTCCCGTCCATGCTTTTTTTTAAGGCATAAGGAAAGTACATGCAAAGTAACGATACACACACAAAATTAATTTGTCAGGAAATTGCCTACTTTGTCGTTTATCTCTCAAAATGAGAACAATCTACCTTACAGAATGGGGCTAACACATCCCCCTGTGAAATATTTATCAGATATAAGATATGTATTAATGTCTTAAAATAAAATCTGTGATTACATCACTGTCAATGGCTGACAAGTACAATAATCAAATATGCATTTATCGTCAGGATCTCAGAGAACATGCTGGGCTTAATGTGCTCTCTTCGAGGCTCTCCGCATCCCTCTGACAGCAAAGATTTCCCTCTTAGTTACAGAGTTATTATTACAAATATGAATCCCCTGTGAATACACACATGGATAATGAGTTAAATGCTTATTCCATGCAGTCCCAACACCCTGCACACACAGTCCTAATGCCTCCTTCCCACCGCTCTCCATACAATCCCTCTCACCTTTGCAGTTTTCCTAGAGAGTCCCCCACTGTGTTTTTCACTTCCTCCTTCCCAGGCTTAAGCACCTGTTCCTTCAAACCTGCTAGCCCACCAAAAGGCATTTTCTCAATGTCTTTGTTTCCTCTCCTCTTTTATCTGGAAACAGTGTCTTGATACCTCACTAACACACTCTGCTCTGACAAAGGGGAAAAATCCACTAGATGCTGTTCATCATCCTTGGTGAGTTTTTGGCACCGGGGGGTTGGCTCCACCTTCCCGCGGGGCAACGGGTCCTTCAGAGGGAAGACAGGGTTTTCCTCTCCACTTTTATCTGGAGTGAGGATTCAGTGGAGAAGTGAAGAGAAGGCTGAAGTATTCCTCAATGTCCAAAGTATCAAACAGCCAGAGTCTCAGGAACTTGTTTCATCTTCCTAAGATCCAGTTTAGAGAAAGACTGGTGTAGAACGAGGAGAGCAAATGAAAGTGTAGATCCAGGTTTCAGTCTCTAGAGCTTCCTTTTGTCTAGATCCTGTCTTCATCTCATAATGCATCCACTCGTGGTGAGGAGGGGCAGGTGGAGCTGGTTCTCTTAAAACCCAGCCCCCTCGCTTTACACATCTTCATCATCTCTGCAGCACCACCCCTTCTGCTGGTTAGGTTCATCTGATAGCAACCCAGACAGTTAAATATGCATGAGCTTGACAAGTTGCATTGAGGAGAAGCTGGACTGCTGTGGTGTAAAATGGGAGCAGGTGAAACCTAAGACAGAACCGTCAAGCTCCAGGTTTACACTGCCAATTTTTCCATGACTGATAATTACAATTTCTGTATTGCTGAGGGAGTGACAGAAGTCATAAATGTTGCAATCAAGCTGAATAGCAGCCACAATACTAATCTGTTACCATCTGACACTGATGGGCAATTCCCTGAAATGACTGTTTTGCCAGCAGAGGGAAACTCAACGTTTATCAGAGTGAGGTACCTTCTTTCAAGATAGTCAAAAATGCAGTATTTCAGGGAGATTTTAAAATGTAAACAGCAGACAGGATGGTGTGGGCCTGAACCATGAGCGTCTGGTTCAAATATGGCTGTTGGTGCTTTTACTCCAGCTGTTTATGCACTTCATGAATAAACTGTGAGCTCAATCCCTAGTGGAACCCTCAATAAATAAAGTCCTTTGTATTACAAATATCACAGCTCCATTACAAGAAACATTAAGGGAGCTGCCTTTTATAGTAAGTATACTGTATGGCATAGAAATGAGATATTTAAGGAATTATTACATTAAATGCATTAAACATATTAATACAAATAAATAAACCAATATAATTTCAAAATAACAAAACAATACAACCAGCAAGACTTACATGCTTCAATTATCCAATTTGTATTAAAGATAATGAAAAGCAATGGAGTGAAATACACAATTTGAATTGTTGACACAAATAAAGATATTATGTAAACAGATTACACATAATTGTATTAGGTTAGTTGAAAGCAATATTATAATAGCATTGTTACTTAAATTAAACTGAGGACGTTTTGAAATAACATATTACTTTTGAGTAAGTAAAGTCTACCATCTAGTGGTCGGAGTGGGAAGGGACATGTGATCAACCCCAGCAGCCACTTGTATGCGCCATGGGATAGGTGCTTAATCATCAGTCCTCAATGTTGGAGTGATGAGGCCAGAGCCTAGATCTTTACAATTTTTTGAACGTATTATAGGCAATCTTGAAACTTCAATTAATCTTAATTTAAAACCTGTGAAACCCCATTCCCCGCTGGCGGGGGGGGAATCGCAACATCTGCAAGAAACAGCTCTGAGGGCTTCTTAACATTTAAAAACCTATTAATGTGTCATACCTACTTAACAGGAAGAAACTCAGCTATCAGACAGTATTAACAATTTTTTGCAAAACAAAACATAAGGGTAATAACAAACGCTCTGAATTAGCCCTGAGCGAAAAAATGCTAACAAACTTAGCACAGAACTCACGTTAAAATACCCTTATTACTTATCGTATCTGCACAAACAAGATATCAATTAGCAAGCTGAGATTGCACAGATTCGACAGGTATTAGTATCACTACTGACCGATCCGAACTCGCAACATGAGAAGCTAACAAATACATCACACCACGTAGCATTAGGTAGCCAACACGGCAATATGTCTTACCTTTGTTGTTTTCTGATCAAAATTTGTCTTCAATGGTATTACAACGATAAAAACGCTGCTGAAGGTTAATCCATAGGTTAATCCATCATCAAAATCGACCAATGGGTTCCAGAGAAACGGCAAATGCACCCATTTCCACCTAAATGACCCCCAAGATTTTTTTTTTCTAAGCCTGCTCCAAAAGGTAAAATGTTATCTTTTGGTTGCATCAACTTGACAGGGTACTATTATATGTATAGTTGGATAACTAAAGCTTAGCTCCCGATCCCATCATCAATCTGATTTACTTAAATGGGGGGGGGGGGTTCGAATCGTCTTAGCGAGTTTCTTCCCGTTAAGTGGTATGACATTTTAAGAAAGCCCTGAGACACAGTTTTGGAGAAAGGAAAAAAAAAGCGGGGGCTATGAAAAAAGGCTAACAGGTTAAGGCATTGTAGTGTGGGTGTGGTGTGTGTGGTGGTGTGTGTTGGTGGTGTGTGTTGGTTGTGGGTGTTTGTGGGTTGTGTGTGTGCTGTGTGTGTGCTTGCGCGCGCTCTCTAAAATCCAATTCCTCCTGAGCCGGACCGAAAGAAATGCCAGCAAAGTCAACAAGCTCATTAGAGCGCAGAGGCTGACCTTTTCATTNAAAAAAAACGCTGCTGACGGTTAATCCATAGGTTAATCCAATGTGTCTGTGTCAATTTGAAATTATTTCTGATAATCCATCAGCAAAAAACCTAGTTTTCAGATTTCAGAGTGTAAAATAGGTTTCGCTTTGGGCAAACTGCGTGCGCATAGCCCCCACTTCTCAATGGTAACGTGTGTGTATGTGGAAATCCCCCTTCGATTGTATTGGCTCTAACGGTTCAAAAGAGATGTCAATCATCAAAATCGACCAATGGGTTCCAGAGAAACGGCAAATACACCCATTTCCACCCAAATAGAGTGGCGAAGTCACGCCCACTTACTTCCGCATCATGGGACCTTATTCCGAAAAAATAATACATTGAAGTCAATGGAGAGAGAAAACTTATCTTTTGATCCCGTTTGAATTGTGCCATGAATTACACATATGTTGTTTGTCAATCTTAAAAAATCATTTCCATGTCAAAAAATTCAAAGTTTGTCTTAAAACTGTTGAAATATAAGACTATGAAAAATACGCAACTAGAAAGACTACAAATCCCAGAGTCGCGTAAGTGCTGTCATAACTGATGTATTCCCTCCAGATAGCTAAAAATACATTTACTTACTGTACTTACTTACTTTAACAAGATGCCTGTGTGCTTTGTACCAGGTTGTTATCATACCAGTAATAGTACCTCTTGCTCGTTCTTTTGCTTGCCGTCTGATAAAAGGACCAGGAGTCGCTGGATCAAACACATCAGGTAAACTACATGTTGTGCATGGAACATTGTCAAGTTTAGTTACCTAGCTAGTAGCAAGCACGTTAGTTAGCCTTATCATGAATTAACATAAGTAAACCAAAATGTTAAACAGTAAGAGTCGTCTAGATGGTAAGTATTTTGAGAAGAGTACTGTCACACCGGTGTGATAATTCTATAACACACCGTTTAATCCCGGGTACACCCTCCACCGGGGTCTCCAGGGCAGGTGCCGATGCTAATGTAGCGTA